GAGGGATGGTCACACCGCAATCCCTTCTCCTCCATTCTCCTCTCGGGATCTTGGACACGCACGCACACGCACCTGGTGTGAGTTTTAAGCCACCGGGTCCAGGACGCAAATTGCGGTCGACTACGTGGGAGTCCAGCGACATAGCCATTACGCTAACTGCTGGTTCCCTGCCTGGCATGATTTTAAAGCCACCAAGTCTGGGTCTCGAACCACAGTCAGCCAAGTGGGAATCCAGCACTTTTAACCACCACGCCACCTGCTGGCCCCTTAAACATATGATTTTAAAACACAAGAGTTTTCATTTAACTCCCAAACCTAGCTCTATCCATCCTACACTTGCATCTTTTTAGGGTCTTGTCTCGGCTAAGCTGCTGGAGAAGAGCCTAAAGCGGTCCCTCTTCAAAAGACACTCTCCAGCCCCTCTTCCTCCTCCCCAGAGTCTTACAGTATAATTTACATACAATAAAATGCAAGGGTTCTAAAACCCACACTTCGGTGAGCTCTGTCAAATACACACATGAAGGCATGACCACTACCTCATCAAGATACACGCTGGGTAGAACCAGCAGTTAGCGTAATGGCTATGTCGCTGGACTCCCACATAATCGATCGCGGTTCAAGTCCCAGACCCTGTGGCTTAAACTCACGCTGGGCGCGTGTGCGTGCATGCCCAAGATCCTGAGAGGAGAATGGAGGAGAAGGGATTGTGGCGTGGCCATCCCCACAGGGGAGGGGGGTGATTTCTTGCTTTTTGTCTGTTTCTCTCTGTCTGTCTGCCCAATAGCAAAAACCTCTTCAAAAAAAAAAAGATACACGCTGGGTCTTCAAAAACTGTAGAAAATGTGTATCATAAAAAACTATGCATGGATTTTACTTTTTGTACCAAAATATGCCCATACTTTAGTTTCCTTTTTCCGCATGCCTCTGAACGTCCCTCATCAAAAGCCACCATCGTCCCAGAATGTTCCCTTGGCCAATCGGCACACAGTTTCGGCCCCAACTCCTGCCCAGACACCCTCAGGTCTGATTTCTAGCATCGAATTAGCCCTGCCTGTTCTAGAACCTCACACACATGGCCCTAACCCCCATGGGGCCTTTGTGTCTGGCCCCCGGCTCAGTGTTTCGGGGACTTGCCCACGCTGTGTTAACTGTCTGCTCCTGTTCACTGCCGAGTAGTTTTCCACACACACTGACTATCTGCTCACTGGTTCCGGATTTCAGCTCGGATCAGTGTGTCCACTCGCACTGGTGTTGTTCCTGAGAGTGGGATTCCTGGGGCCTCACGTCTACCTCCATATAAAACTGCCAGCCTTTCTCAAGTGGCCATTCACCTGGCATCCCAGCAGCATGATGGGAGATCTGCTCAGACGGTTGGTTCCGGATTTCAGCTCGGATCCACTCGCACTGGTGTTGTTCCTGAGAGTGGGATTCCTGGGGTCTCACGTCTACCTCCATATAAAACTGCCAGCCTTTCTCAAGTGGCCATTCACCTGGCATCCCAGCAGCATGATGGGAGAGCTCCACTTCCTCCCATTTGCCACACTAGTGTTGCTATCTCACTGTGATTTAAATTGCATTTATTTCCTGACAATTAAAGGCTGTCTTCTTTTCATGACTATGTCACGTATCTTCTTCTGGAAAAGTCTATTTAAACCTTTGTCTACCTTTTTGTCAGGCTGCTCACTTTCTCCCTCCTCGCCCCTACCTGTGCACTGCAGTGACTTCCCTGAACTGCAGGGTAGGATCCAGCCTTGGCCCTGCTCACAGGGATCAGGGCGGGCCCTCCTGGCCTACCCCTACACAGACCCCAGCTCACACCTTCCCATCCCGAGCTCTCAACTGCTCCAGGTCTCCAAGCCCTTGGACACGGCCTGCCTGTCAGGACTGTCTCTCCCGCCACAACCCACCCAGGGGTCTCTCGAGGAGGGACTTGCCGTCTCCTGTGCTGACAAGGCCGGTTCACCCTCTCTGTGTGCTCCCCTCACACCTAAGAGACTCGAGATGCCGGGACGGCAGAGACGGTCGTCTTTTCTTCCTCTCTCAGCCTCTACATTCTAGCACGTGGTCGCCACAGACTAACTCCAAGTGGACAAAACAAATGATGGCAAGAACTAGCAAAAGAAATCAGGGCAGTGTGACAGGATCCTCCAATTGTCCAACCACGTAGAACAGCTCATTCCGCAGGACCCCGTCCACTAGACGGAGCCAAGTCCTCAGGCCCAGAAAACCCAGGAGGAGGAGGGGAGCCCTAAAGCCGGTGGTGGGGGCTGTGCACAGACCCAGGCAGTGTGGGCCCCGGCTAACACTCAGCACTGAGCTCTGGCTTCCTGCTGCTTTCCTCCCTCCTGAGCCGCCCAGCCGCCAAACTGGAGGAAGGCATAAAGGGAAGAGGCGGAGCATTTTCATAGAGAGCCGACTCGGTGACCACGTACCGGGCAGGCACAGCTCTCAGCACTGTATGCGACGCACTGAATCCCTGCCACCACACTAGGAGGAAGGCACAACCACCAACACTTCTTAAAGATGAGGAAACTGAGGCACCTAGGTTAATGATCCAGGGTCACATGGCTGAAAGGCAACACGGCCAGAACTTGAGCTCCGGCCATCTGGCTCTGGAACCTCAACATCCTACTGTCACTTATAAAGACGGATAGGGCTATGCCCCGATGTCCCACCACCTCAGCTGCTGCCACCACGCCACAGACCAGAACACTGCCACTGAACCAGGTGCCGAGTGCTGCCCACGTTCCAGGCACCGGCTGGGTGAGGGATGCCAGCGCTGTGAAGAGGGCGTTACCATTCCCACCCTAATGGTAACTAGGGAGGTAGACGGCACCAGCTCAGGTCAGGAAAGGCGCCCCACGTGCCAGCAGGGCGTCCAAGAGCCACCGATGTCTAGAACGGTTCCCAGGCAGTGCCATCCGTTGTGCAATGTCCCTCTGGCCCACCAGGGCACTCCTAGTCTCGCAGGGTCACCTGACGTCCAGATCCAGGCCCTCAGTCTCTCTCAACCTGACACCGCTCCCCTTGGTTATTTCCTGCAAACGCTGCTCTGTTCTCTCAAAGTCAGAAGCCAACCACATTTCCCTTTTAAGAAATTCGGAGCTCCCAAAACATAAAGCAGGTGTGCACGCAGCAACTACAAACGCCCAGGCTGCCAAGCTCCCCCGGGGCTGTACCTGCACCATCCACCCTACCTTGATCTCCAACTTGTGGTTGATGGCCAGTGCGGAGTGCTCCAGGGCTTTAATGACAGAGGCGTATGAGTCCGAGAACTTGGTGTATTTGCCCACCAGAGCGATAGAGCAGGTCTCCAGCAAGCGGTCATATCTACCGAACAAAGGCCAAGAAACACACGGTGAGTTAGAGATCAAAATGGCTTTTTCAAGAGAAGAAAAACATGCCTAAGAAGAACAGTGGGAGAGGTATTATCCGAGTTCTATGTACACACCAGGGAAGAAGCAATTTTTAGATCAGCATGGCAGGCCTTGTAAAGAAAGCTGGATTTCAGAAGCTACTACAAAGAGACACTTTCAAAAACCTCACACAAACTTGTTTAAAAACTTTTAAATCCTAAAGTGCAAAAAAAATGAACAGACATGAACGTTAAATTTTTGCTATAGGGCGCAGGCACGTGCTAGAGAGAGACAGAAAAAGCGAGAGGGAGGGAAAGTAAGAAAGCCACCCCAGGAGGCTGGCCATGCCACAATCCCTTCTCCTCTCAGGTTTTGAGTGTGCACACACACGTGCGTGGCATGCTCTTCAAGCCACCAAGTCCAGGACTCGAACCACACAGTGAGCCAGTCACCTTAACCACCACTAGCTGGGCCCACAAGATTAATTTGATGAAGGGGAGACTTAAAATAAGGGACAATCACACAACAGCAAAGTTCACACTTACTAAAAATGTTCATTATAAAGTATAATTAGTAGTAACAAAATGCTTTATGAAAAAGGATTGAAAAGCAGAGAGCTACATGTAAATAGACAAGACTGAAAGGAGAATGTTAAAACGGGAACAAACATGCCAGAGGACGGAGCAAGTGCTTCCTCCTCAAAGCTCACGTTAGCGTTGCAGCCATGGTAAGGCACGCCCACTGCTCTGAGCCACTAAGCGAAGATCTCTGACGTGACGTGAGGACAACTGGAAGGGGACAGTCCTCCTAGAGCTCACCTCCAGCAGTACCTCCCTAGCCATCCCTCTCCCTGGGGTGCTCCAGCCATGATCGACCACTGATGTGGGCTTCAGGTGTCTGTGCAAACCTACCACCAAGGCCTCTTTGCACTGATCTTCAAATCAGTAAGAGTCAGGTGTGATAAGACAGGATCAGAACTTGCTGCCTGGAGACCTGGGGTCAGGCCCCACCTTACCAGGACATGCTCCTTGCTGGCACAACCACAGGACAGCTGAGATCCCTTAACACTCACAACATCTCTTACCGTTAGGACCTTTTCAACACCAGTGGACAACGAAATGCTGACAGGCTAGCGAAGGAGCTGGACTCCCAGAGCCTCTGCCAACAGACACTGACAGCAGCGGTCCCGCCAGCTCCTCACTGCAAGACGTACCTGTCCGCCATCTCCTTCCACTTCATCAGCATCTTCCGTGGCTGCCTCTCAATAGGAAGGTCAAGTCTTCGAAGAAAATAATCCACAACTCCTTGCTCCTCTAATAACAAGGGGACGCGATAGATGGATGAGACATCATGGACACAGATCACCTATTTACAAAAAGAGCAAGTTACTTAATAAAAACGAGCGAAAACCAACCGAGCTCAGAGCCCCCCTCAGCCACGTGACCCTGGGAAAAGAACTTCCAACTACGGAAACAGAAAAAAAGGGCCATTTTCTAGAAAAATGGAAATGACCAAAACGTACTCAAGAAGAGGCTGACAGAAAATCAGGGACCAGCTGGGGTGCAGTGGTTAAGCTGGCTGGATCCCACACGGTCACCACGTGCTTCAAGTCCCACACCAGGGGTGTGCGCCTGCGTATTCTAAATCCCGACTCGAGGGAGAAATGCAGGAGAGGAAGCTGTCATGTGACTACCTCCCATGGGACGTGCTTTCTAGCTTTCTCTGTCTCTTTCTCTCCCCCCTTCCCCATGGGAAGTGCTTTCTAGTTTGTTTTCTTTTTTTTTCTCTCTCTCTCTCTGGCGAGCTCATGCACCCTCTGGTGAAATCTTTAAAAAATGGAAAATGAGTGGCTAATCTTTTTCCTTTTATTCTGGTTTTTAAAGGAAGTTTTTGCCTTGAGGTGTGTGCACTCACTGGATAGAGACAGAGACAGTGAGAGGAAAAGTGAGAAAAAACCTGCTCTGGGAGGATGGCCATGCTGCAATCCCTTCTCTGTTCTCCTCCTGGGATCTTGGAGATTCATGAACATGCCCCTGGCATGATTTTCAAGCCATATGGTCTAGGACTTGAACCATGGTTCGTCATGTCTGAGTCCAGCAACATAACCTCTACGCCTCTATCAGTGCCATGGCTAATCTATTATGAACATGGATCCAAAAACTCTTTTAAAAAATAATGTATCACAAACCAAACCACAAATAGTTATTAAAAAAACAAAAAACAAAAAAAAGGCCAAAAGAGGACCTGTCCCAGGAAACCATGAATGGCTTCAATAGGAACAGCGGTTCTCAAACTTGGCTGCACAGTGGAATGGTCTAAACAGTACTTAAAAAAAAAAAAAATGTACAGCCTATTAAAGAAAATTACAGAATATTATCAAAGAACAATCATTTAATAGATGGAAATAGGACAATTAAATAGCCACATGCAAAAAGATGAATTTCAATTCTTACCTCACACCATACACAAACATTAACTCAAAATGGATCATGTAAAACCCAAAACTATAAAACTTCTAGAAGAAAACATAAAAATCTTCATAACCTTGGTTAAAAAGAGTCCTTGGGACCAGCAGATGGCGTAATGGCTATGTCACTAGACTCTGATGTAGTCAACCACAGTTCGAGTCCTGGACCCAGCGACTTAGACTCATGCTGGGCGCGTGTGTGTGCACGCCCAAGATCCCGAGAGAATGGAGGAGAAGGTATTGCAGCATGGCCATACCCCCGGGGGTGATTTCTCGCTTTGTCTCTCTGTCTTTCTGGCAAGTGCACACACCCTATAGCAAAAACCTCTCCAAAAAAAAAAGTTCTCATGTATGACAGCAAAGGCACAATTCAAAAAAGACAAAAAATGAAAAGGCACAGACTAGGAGAAAATAAATGCAAATCATACATCTGATAAAAGACTTATACAGGGGGGCGGGGGGGTAGCAGGTGGCATGGTGGTTAAGAGTGCTAGATTCCCACTTGGCCGACCGTAGTTCAAGTCCTGGACCTGACAGCTTGCTTTCTCACTTTCTCTCTCTCTCTCTCTCTCTCTCTCTCTCTTTCTCACTCTATTCCTCTCTGGTAAAATTAAAATAAACAAATAAGTTGATAAATAAAGTTAAATAAATCTATAAAAAAAGAAAAAAAGGCGTGTACTGAAAGAACTTTTACAACTCAGTAAGATAAACAACCTCATTTTAAAACTAGGCAAAAGATATGAAATCAAATTTGAATATGAAAATACCTTCACTTTTTTTTTTTTTTTTTTTTTTGAGAGGTTTTTGCTATAGGGCGCATGCGCTTGCCAGACAGACAGAGACAGACAGAGAGATAGAAAGCAACCCCCTGCGGGGGGATGGCCACACTACAATCCCTTCTCCTTCATTCTCCTCTCGGGATCTTGAACATGCACACACACATGCCAGGCGTGAGTTTAAGGCACTGAGTTCGGGAACTGAACCACGGTCAACTGCACGGGAGTCCCGTGACATAGCCACTACGCCAGCTGCTGGTCCCCACATTTTTAATAGTGAGTACTTTCTTTTTTTTTTTAAGAATTATTTTATTTACCTTTATTAATTTATTTACTTTTTTTTTTTTATTTGACCAGAGAGGGACAGAGTGAAAGAGCGAGAGAGAGTTAGAGTGAAAGTGAGAGCGAGAAGCAAGCCACCAGGTCCGGGATTCAAATCGCAGTCAACCATGTGGGAGTCCAGTGCTCTTAACCACCACTCCACCAGCTGGCCCCAATAGTGAATATTTTCAATGACAACCTGTTCTGCTACAGAATTGAGTTCCCTTCACCTGCTAGGACAGAAATAACTAAAATAAGTAAAGTGCGTGCTGATGGGCTGTTGAGAAAACTGAAATGACTGTGTTCCATGCGTTCAGTGTGAAACAGGCCCTGTTGGCCCTCACACCTGAAGCTTGAGCTACCATGGAGAGGGTGGCTACCTCTGTAACAAAGGCTCTATCCAGGCCAGCAGGTGGAGTAGTGGTTAAGGTGCTGGATCCCAGGGCCAACTGATCAGTTCTAGTCCAGGATCCAGTGGCTTAAAAATCACACCAGGCATGTGTACTTGTGTACTCAAAATCCTTAGGGGAGAAGATAAGAGAAGGGATCGAGGCATGGCCTTCCACCCCTCCCCCATGGGATGTGATTTTTCTCTCTCTCAATCTCTCTCTCCCTCTCTCTGGTGAGCACACATGCCGTAGAGCTCCTCCTCCAAAAAAAAAGGCTCTATCCACACTGAGCCATGTCTTGCTTTCTCGTTTTCACCTCTGTAATCAGTCTTTCTTGTTTTTCATTTGCTATAGACACACGTGTTTGTGAGGGGAGGTAGTAAGAGAGACAAAGACACACAGAGCAAAGGCACCCCAGTGGGGACGGCCATGCTTCAATCCCTTCTCCATTCTCCTCTCAGGATTTTGAGCATGCACACACAGACCCAACATGTTTCTCAAGCCACTGGGCCTGGGACTCGAACCATACAGTCTACCATGTGGGATCCAGCTGCCTTAACCTCCATCCCGCCAGTTGGCCCTAAGCCTCATAATCCACTAGTTTGCTCTTATTTTAACCCTTCTGCTTCATTCGCCCCTCTTCAGGCAGACGGCCTCTCCTGCTTAGTCTCCTGACCCTCAAATACTCTAGTAGTAAAACAAGCTCTCCAGAACCCAATCATGGAATTCCTTGACCTCCTCTTCCCTCTTTCTCTCCTCCAGCCCAATATGACCAAAGCCACAGTCTCAATTTATCACCAGAATATCCATACTAAGCACCACACTGAGCTATGCCATGGGTCCCCAAATCCTGGATTTCCTGTACTACACTGCTAGCAAAGCAACAGAACGACCAAGATATGCAGGGGCCGTTAACACCCTAGACACCAGACACCACAAACATAAAACTGAATCAAATGGTCCTCGCCTTCCAAAAGCTCAAAGTCTATAGGAAGAGACAAACACGGACACACAGATACAAAGATAAACACACGAGCACACCCAACAACAGGCACTAGGACAGGTTCACCACCAGCACGTGGGAGACCCACAGGTTGCCCAGAGAAGGGAGTGATTACCAAGCAGGTCGTAGGTAAGGAAGCCTACCAGGGAAAGCTTCTCAGACAATGCAAGGGGGTCTTCAATAAGTTTATGAAAAAGCTACACATGGACTTGAAAATTTTTTCACAGCAAACTCATACTTTAATTCCATTTTCTCATGAATTATCTGAAGTCCTCTCCTACTATATATAGCCTAGCTAGATGCTCAAGAATGAGGTTGAAGAGATTGTCAGGCCAACAGGGAAAGA